CCTTACCAATCCCATTTCAAAGGAGAAACAGAGCCATGTGGTATCTCTGGTTGTGAATGGTAAGTCCATTCAGTTTTCCTTCTCTGCCCCTAATCTATTATAAAGAGTATGATTATGTCCTCCTGAACAGCCAACCCACCTTTCCTTTGGAGCCTGCTCCTGCACACGCATCATGAGGGCTCCTGTGTACAGAAATGATCCAGAGCAGTGAGGCTGAAATGGAGTGTAGGACAGCGTGCTCTAGGTATGTCTGCTTAAGAGGCCATGGGATTGAACCGTTTGGTGGTCAAATGTGAGGCTAAAGGAGACGGTACAGCCAATGGCCAAATGCTGTGAAATAAGAAGGCTGGCAGGGATGGTCATCAAACTCAAGATGCACTAACTTTGCTCCCATCCATGGAATTGTGCACCATGGAATTGGGCTCGCAAAAGCGCATGACTCTTCCTGAATTTTGCAGAAGGCTTTGAGTTTGATTTGGGGATTGATGTATCCGTGATACACAGACAGATTCCAACTCAGGAGGCTTTTGCAGGCTGACATTGTTGGCTGGTGGGAAATGTTTTAATTTTTTTTTTCAGCAGGAGTCTTGGATCTGACTCTGGAGCTGTAAAGTGGGGATATTAAGTTTTTGATTTAAGAATGATTTGAACTTTATTTTTCCAAACTGAAGAATGTAAATAAGTGTTCTGGGTGGGGGAAAAGGGGCATTATGGTCAGGTAGGTGTGGGAGATGCTAGGCTGACGGATATAGGATATTGTCTTTCTCCAGGGGCAGAGACATAGCATAGAGCACCCCATACATCCATTAATATCCTGCTTCAAACACAGTTGGGGAAATGCTTCTCTAGGAATTCTTTGTTTTTCCTACTGGCACGACAGATTAAAACTTTAGGATCTTCTCATGTGACGTTAAGGTGCTTCCCCATAGATCTTGCCAAGCTCTGTATGTCTGCTGAGCTGGGCTTCACTTCTTTGCTAGGACATCAGCCTCGGGAGTATTTTAAAGATAACAGGTTCCAGAAATGTCATGTAGAAGCCACTTGGGTGTAGGAGGTTGAGGGGGTGGAGAGAAGCTGGGGAGCTGATAAGTAGGGTTAGGAGAAGGAAATGAACAAGAAATAATGATGTGAAAATGGACAGTGAATAACTCCATTTCATTCATCCAGGAAGTCACTAAACATTTGATTCCCCCTAATATTGACCCTGCTCCCTAAAACAAACATTAAAAAGAAGTCAAGTTTTGAAAGTATAATCTGAGGCTTTAGGTTGATCATGATGGGAAAATGGTTTCACATTAATGACTTTGGAGCCAAAAAAAGAAAGAAAGAAGGAAAGGGGAGGAGGAGAGAAGACAAGGAACGGAGGGAGGGAGGGAGGAAGGAAGGAAGGGGAAGAAGGAGGGGGAGACGGAGAAGAAGGTGTGGTGAGTGACCTTGGGCAAGTCATTTCACTTTTTTGTTTCATTTTTCTCATGTGTAAAGTGGAGGATAATAACTGTGGTTTTGAGAATTAAATGAATTAACTGGTGTAAAACACTTAGAACAATGGCCAGCACCTAATACATGCATTGTATTATTCACAATTATTTTCTTTCTGGAGCCTTGCCTGATCTTGTGAAATTGGGAGGACAAGGAGAACTGTCCCTATAGTGTAGATGAGAAAATGTGTGCAGGGTGGTGACACTTGCACAAAGTCACTCAGCTTATTCATTTATTATTATCATCATCATGAGGCTCACTCTGAGGATCACTCAGAGTGTCCTGTTTCCAAGTCTAGATGTTCTTTGAAAAATCAGATGGGGGCAGAATCCTGCACTTGGAAAAACACAGGCTTTGATTGCTGAAAGCTTCTACTTTCCATTCTTCAAAGCTGATTGACAATTCAAAAGCTGTCTTTCTCATCTCCAGTCCCACCCCAGATTGGTGAGAAGTCTCTGATCTCTCCTGTGGACTCTTACCAGTACGGCACCTCCCAAACACTGACGTGCACGGTCTATGCCGTTCCTCCCCCAAGTCACATCCGGTGGTACTGGCAGCTGGAGACAGAGTGCACCTACAAGCCCACGTGAGTAGGGCTACACCCTCTTTTTGCTGCACTTTTGCATTTTTTCTATTTATTTGTTCATTTTGTTTTTTAGATTCCACATATGAGTGATATCATACAGTATTTGTCTTTCTCTGTCTGACTTACTTCATTTAGCATAATGCCCTTCAGATCCATCCATGTTGTTGCAAATGGCAGAATTTCATTCTTTTTTATGGCTGAGTAGTATTCCATTGTGCCTGTGTATATATGTGTATACATCACATCTTCTTTATTCAGTCATCTGTTGATGGACATAGCCAGGCTATCATATGACTCCATTCTAAGTCAAGAAGGCTCTCTCAAAGAAGGACATTCCTCAGGTGGCACTCTTAGTCTCCTTGCATCTTCTCTGTGGCTACATTTATAGGAGATGTCATTCCTTGAGGTATCCTGCTTTGAGCTTAGCTAGCTCTCTCTTTAGGTTAGCCCCAATTGTACCCCTCTCGAAGCGCAGTTTCTTTGCTCACTTTGTTAATTGCCAGTCTTTGGTTTTTCTCCTTGTACCAATCAACCAGTGAATACCACGATCTCCTTATCTGTGAGAAGGTCCATCTCAGAGGAAGTGCTGAAGGATGCGAGGGAGCGATAGACCTCGGAGCCTCAGGCCCGGCTTATCACGTCCTAACACAAGTCCAGACATCCTTAGGAAAAACAACAACAACAAGTCACCCACCACCACCCTAGGCAGCTCACTTCCTGTTGTTGTTTTTGGGATGACCCCTTCTGGTTGCTTCCTCAGATGCTGACCATTTCCCACACAAAGGCCACAGTCCCAGGGAGATCGCTTTAAGAAGCCCAATGGCTTCTCAGTTTCCTTGCCTGCCTTTGAACTAAATTAACTTGAATTGTCTTGTCGATCCAATTTATGAATGGAGGTTTGTTCCCAAAATAGCTGCTTCCCTCCCGTATCCTGAATGAATCTACCTAGAACCTTTTCCTTCACTGCCCAGGCCTATTTTTAATTGGCGCCAAGTCTTGTAGCGGGGTAGGGTGCACTGAGCAGTTACTTCCAAGAACAAAATACCAAAGTCTGGCTCTTGCTTTGCTATTGAGGTGAATTTTAAGAAAAATTAAGTCATGATATCATCTGTTATCTCTTTCTTATAGCCAAGCTGCCTTAATGACAAACCCATATAGCTGTAAAGAATGGAGAAACGTGGAGGATGTCCAGGGCGGAAATAAAATTGAAGTCAACAAAAATCAATTTGCCTTAATTGAAGGAAAGAACAAAGTGAGTTGGCAGTTCTTTAATTTGAAAATCTGTCTCTCTTTCACGGAAGGTTGTAGTGAAAGCAGGGTAAAACAATATGTGAAGAGCATTGGAGACTGATCAGCAAATAAACTGGGCGATAAAATGTTAGCGTATTAAGTCAGTTTGAAAAGACCACTGACTTTTAGAAGCACCATTGGCTTGTTAACGCCTTATCAGAGCAAGGGAAAATTTATCTGCCATTAGCCCTGTACATCTATTGTAAGGTAATTCTGAGTTTACAAACATACACATGAGAAAATGAGTGTAATGTTGTATTAAAACACGTGCTTTATTTCCTGGTTGCCAAAGCTCATTTTGTATGACGTGTGAGCTGCTGCAGCGTAATTGTAATGGCACGGATTTGAGTGCCGTCGGTGCCGGAGTAGGAGTCGGGTAGGCAGGCCGCGGCGGTTGTGGGGACGCTGAATTTTAGTCTGAATGCGTGTGCATAAACACAGCCTCCATTGTTTATGGCCTGGGATTTGTTTTTTTTTTTTTTCACAGACTGTGAGCACCCTTGTTATCCAGGCAGCCAATGTGTCCGCTTTGTACAAATGTGAAGCGGTGAACAAAGCTGGGAGAGGAGAGAGGGTTATCTCCTTCCACGTGACCAGTAAGTCCGGCTCCCCCTGGGGGTGGGCTGTCTGATACTCTGTCGTGCTGGCCATTTCCATGAGCGGCACGACTTTAGGAAGGGGACTTGGATGGATAATCGATGCTTTTGTTCATGAATGAGAACTCCTCAGCTCAACGTGAAGTCAGTCCATCTGACTGCCCAGGAGAGAGAATATGGTTTCACATCTGCTTCTGAACCTCAAGTCCCATGTCACATTTTTGTCTCCATCATCAGAGGCTAGCACAGTGCTTGGCTTATTGAGGTTCAGCCAATATTTATGTGCTTGCTGCTGGACACTTGACGAGTGAGTGTCTTGGAAGCAGTTGTAATGACATTGGAGCGGTGCCCTCCCAAGGCTGCCGATTTTCTCTGTTCATCTTTCATTTCATGGCTAAGCTTTAGCTGACTGGACAGGATAAAATATTGCAGTCTAGGCTAATTCACTGTAATAAATATAGCTTTCCTCTCAGTGAGTGTTAGGTATTCATGAAGAATTAATTTTTGATATTCCATGTTATAATTATCTGCTTTGAATTTTGTTGGATTTCAATAAAATCTTATAAACCATGTTTCGAGCTCAAAGTGAAGATTTGATAAATATCTGAGGAATTAATTTACATTTCCAAATAATATAGTTTCATCAAATAGTACATTTTGAAACCGAACTGTCCAGTTGGCTGTCTTCTTATATTACATTGTCTGGGATTGCTGGAGCTTCACTTCTCGTGGGGCTTTATCACAGGCTGAAGGCAACAAGAAAATAATAGCATGCTGCCCAAGTTAAGTCACTAGCTTCTAACAGGGGGTTTACCTTTCAGAGGGTCCTGAAATCACCTTGCAACCCAGCACCCAGCCAACTGAGCAGGAGAGCGTGTCTCTGCAGTGCTCAGCGGACAGAACTATGTTTGAGAACCTCACGTGGTACAAGCTTGGCCCCCCGGCTCTACCAGTCCGCACAGGAGAGTTGCCCACACCTATCTGCAAGAACTTGGATGTTCTTTGGAAAATGAATGCCACCATGTTCTCTAATAGCACCAATGACATTTTGATCGTGGAGCTCCAGAATGCATCCTTGCAAGATCAGGGAGACTACGTCTGCTTTGCTCAGGACAGGAAGACCAAGAAAAGACATTGTGTCGCCAGGCAGCTCACAGTCCTAGGTAAGGAGGTAACTCTGGACCACCCGGAGATGGTTGGAAATCCTTAAAGGTAGTGCTTTCTGGGGGCTGTGTAAAGACTGTCCGCTAGGAGCTTATGAAGTAGACTCGTGAACACTTATCTTACTCACTGAAAGTCCTCGAGGCACGAGGAGGCTCATCATGATGAAGTGATGTATTAAAAAGAAAACAACACGGTTCTATCCAACCCTGATGGTGGAGTAACTCACTATTTTCTGCAAGGGATTACCCTGAACCAGGGCAAGTTCTGCCCTATTCTCGGGCATCCATTTATTTCAATAGATACATATTTGTGGAATGCCCACCATGAGCTAGGAGGGTGCCGGAACTTCACAGTGGGGAGTAGGTGGGGAGGGTGAGAACACAGACCGCCACCAGCCTGTCGCAGTACCGTGTGGTCTCTGTGTTCTTGAGGACAGGGGTTGTTTTCTGTTTTACTTCTTGGTCGGCTCCAGACACAGTGGTACAGATTAGGTGCATGATAAGACATTTGCTGCTGGAAGAGTGTGGTGATGGTGTCGCTTACCACCTCTGAGAGCCCCTGGGAGGGGTGCCACCCTCATTGCCTGTACCTCTGCCGTACAGCTCAGGGTCAATGAGATGATCATTTTAATCAGCAGAGAGCTTTGTAAATTCCACATCAAGCCACCCTCTACACCTCATCTAACCTTGCTCCTTGCACAAAATCTGTGCAGCCATGGCTCTGTCTCTGAGAAAATTAGGCAAATTTGGGGAGTTTCTCTTTTTGCCATCTCCTTCTATTTTTTCCTCTCCTTCGTTTTCTTACCCAGTTTCTGGGATGCTTATGTTCTGGTTTTTCACTGTGAAGAAAGGGAACTGCCCAGATAAACTAATTTATACTAAAGTTTTAGTGGAATAATATCTTCAGAAGCTTTGGCATATTTTAAGAGGTATCTTCCGACAGCCACTAGGATGGATTTTGCTAGAGTTAAGACTCAGGTGGCAGAAGAAGAGATGTTTTGGGGTGAAGTCATCCCAGAGCTCTTCAGATCACACCACATATATATGACCATGGTTTTTCTGTTCACCTTGGTGACCGGTCTGGTTTCAAGCTAATGAAAAAATTCCAACAGAGATGTGAAAGAGGCTCCGGGCTTGCCATGCCCAGGAAATATGTGCTCACGATGAGCTAGTTTGCTTTCCTAAGGACTCTCAAGTTGTTTTCCAAAAATTATTCTTAGAAATAAACTAGAGTCCATTTGCTTAAACCCCAGTGTAGTTCACTGTCAAGGTATTCTCATTTTGCTAAATGTTGACGTTGATTTCTTCTGCAAGATTCCTTTTGATGTTAGGACAAGATATTTCTACAGCACTTTGATGATTTGTAGGAAAGGGGTAAATCTAAAGCTGTCCTGTATATCTAAACAAGGACCCATGGGCTTTGTTTTCTTTAAATCTTTGACTTTCCTTCAAGTGTCGTTGTTTTATTTAGAGGAAATAGTACTGGACTAGTCTTTTAGGCTCATGTAAATCTATTATGAGTTCATCTGTTTACTTAGAGGCACTTGGACAAGTTGTTTAACCCTCCTTCATCTGCAAAATCAGGCTAATGCTACCTACCATAGGACTGATGGTGAGCAATGGAAATAGTATGAGTTTTTTTTAAAGTACCAAATAAATATAAAGCCTTTTTTTTGTTGAATTACATTAAGGTTTTTGCATTCTGAGAGAAACATGGCAGAATTTTTGGGTGTCATTGGCTAGGATTTATTTATTTATTTGTTTCATGGGCAGGAAGCCCATATGACAACTTTTATTTTGTGGTGTGATTACCAGCTCAGGTCACTAGTATGAACGTTCAAAGAGAGGCAGTGATCTGTCTGAACTGACTTGTTTCACTTAACTTTAGTGACCAGGTTGATCACAGTGACCAACCTCTGCATGTTTTCAGCTTAGTAAATCAACAGTTTAGTAAATGGTCTAATAGTTTACTGACACTAAAAGCACTTCAAAAGTTATAGCTAAATGTTCTATGATTTTTTTGTTTTTTTTTTTTTTGGTGCCTGTGCACAGAGCGCATGGCACCCACAATCACAGGAAACCTGGAGAATCAGACAACAAGTATTGGTGAGACCATTGAAGTGTCCTGCACAGCGTCTGGGAATCCCCCTCCACAGATTACGTGGTTTAAAGATAATGAGACACTTGTGGAAGACTCAGGTGAATTGAGCATGTCTGTCTCTCTTTGGCTGCAGAATTTTCCTGGAAATGTTGTCTAATATCCATATTATTTCTTTTAAAAGTTGTTTATTTTTATTGAGGTATAGTTAATGTACAATATTATTTAAGTTTCAGGTGTATGACATAGTGATTCACAATTTTTAAAGATTATATTCTATTTGTAATTATTGTAAAATATTAACTATAGTTCCTGTGCTGTACAATACATCCTTGTGGCTTATTTATTTTATACATAGTACTTTGTACCTCTTAATCCCCTACCCCTGTCTTGTCCCCCCCTCTCCCCTCCCCACATTGGTCCCCACTAGTCTGTTCTCTGTATCTGTGAGTCTGTTTCTTTTTTGTTATTTTCACTAGTCTGTTGTACTTTTTAGATTCCACATATAAGTTATATTATACAGTATAAAAGCCATATTATTCCTCAATTTGTTTTAGGTAGGGAAAAAAAGCCATCGTAGTGTCCGTGGTCTGGTTCACTTGGTGGGAATCCAAATGTTCAAAGCCTTGTTGAATTCTCATGGAAGCCAGGGGTGCAAAGTCAGCAGCTGATCCTCTGTGACCCTTTGGATTTAGATAATAACCCAAGATAAAGGACACCATTTATATTTTTAAAGTATTTTCCTGCAAAACTCCACCAGACCACCTTGTAATAGAAACCATCATTTTCCTCCTCGCTTAGGCATCGTGCTCAAAGGTGGGAACCGGAACCTGACTATCCGCCGGGTGAGGAAGGAGGATGAAGGCCTCTACACCTGCCAGGCGTGCAGTGTTCTTGGGTGTGCGAAAGTGGAGGCATTTTTCATAGTGGAAGGTCAGTGGGAGTTCACGGGCACATAAAGTGGTTTTAAAAAAATTCGCATGTATGTTATATACACTCATATACGCTGGCCAGGACCATAGCCAAATGGGCAGTTTTTAATATTCTTTGTACTTTGTAAATTTCCTGGTCTAAGTATGTATTATTTTAACCAGAAAGCATGATTAATGTTATTTGAATTCTGCTTGCATCACATTTCTATCCCTGCAGTTCTCAATGTGGAAAATTCTCAGCCAGGCAGATGGAATGCCCTCCTTTCAGTGATTCGTTCTCCATTTGAATGGCTCAATTAACTTGTTATGGAAATTATGCCTCTATATCTATTAGGTAGAATTACTGCCTAGTCATGAAAATAAGTGCTATCCAGAGAGTCACAAGGGTTCATAGTTTTTGTTGGACTAAAGATAATTAAAATTCATTTGTGAACAATAGACCATTGCGTCTCTGAAAATGAAAAATTTGAGGTTCTTATCTAAATGTGTATGCAAGAATGATGTGAGATTCCTGACATAGTCTCAGATGGGAAAGGTAATTTGTGACAGAACATTTTATCTTCAAAAGTATATTCCTATGTCTTTTTTTAAACTAACCTACCAGAGGCACAGTGAAAACAGTATTGTGTGGGTGAAGGAATGGTATGCAGGGGGGGAGTGAGAGGGGTGGTGATGGATGGAGGAACTGATGGATTTCTATGAACTCATCCTAATTTGTCTCTCAAAGTCTAGATTTCAGTCCCTTTAATCTGTCAAATCTATGTTGCCAAGTACTGCATCTCGATACCTTGACTTCTTTTCAAATTCCATTTCATCAGCTGCACTTGCAAATAAAGATTTCAAGTGCATGAAGTAAATAAAGATTTCAAGTGACATGGTGGTTTTGCCACTTTCAAAGTGCTTCATGCTTTAGAGCAAATCCGGAGGGAGACTTCCAGCTCCCCGCTGTGCCCTGCCTCAGCTCCGTTAGCTGTCTGCAGCTGGTGACCGAGGCTTAACTAGGTAACCTTGGCACTGACGTTGTATTTACTTCTCACCAGAAGAGAATACTAAGGAAGTAAAAGGTAAATATTTAATGCTGCTGCTAGGTTCCCAAATGTTAATATGGGAACATTAATGCACCAACTTATATAGACAGTCGAATCTTTGAACTTTTTGCTGTGCACAAACGGACTTTTAAATCTCCATGTATAAATAGAGAATTACTTCAGTTACACCCCCGAGAAACGAAATCTACTTCCAAGCAAACTGGGTGCTCGTCTCTCAACTGTTCACTCTTATTTTGCTAACTAATTACTTGTCTTCCTGCCTTCTTGAGGCCGCCTGGGCCACTCTCACAGCTT